ATTAAGCACGCCGAAGAGGCACTAGCTGCCACACCTCAAAGTCACCCTGATCGAGGACGGAGACATTGCGACCTAGGATATGGGATGCTTTTGAGGTTTGAGCGGATTGGAGGCCTTGAAGACCTTCAACAAGCCATCAAGAATGGCGAAGAGGCACTGGCCGCCACCCCTCAAGGCCAATCGAATCGAGCACTCATGCACAATAACCTGGGTTCCTGGTTATCTACAAGGTTTGGGCGGATTGGAGACCTGGGAGACCTTCAAAATGCCATCAAGCACGGCGAAAAGGCACTAGCTGCGACACCTCAAGACCACCCCGATCGAGTAGCCATGCACAGTAACCTAGGAAAATGGCTATCTATGAGGTTTGACCGGACAGGAGACCTTGGAAACATTCAAAAAGCCATCAAACACGGCGAACTAGCACTAGCTGCCACCCCTCAAGACCACCCCGTTCGAGCTGTCATTCACGACAACCTGGGTTCTTGTTTATCTATGAGGTTTGAACGGATAGGAGATCTTGGAGACATTCAAAAAGCCATCCAGCACGGCGAAAAGGCACTAGTTGCCACCCCTCAAGATCACCCTGAGCGAGCAGCTATGCACAATTCTCTGGGGTGCGTGTTCTTCCGAAAGTTTGCGCGGATAGGAGACCTTGGAGACCTCCAAAAAGCTATTGAGCAACACGAAAAGGCAGCCGCGACTACTCCTCGAGATCACCCGCACTATTCATCTATGTGCAGTGCTTTGGCTGCACTTTTGGGATCAACATTCCCACCGCTACAATCCCCTCTAGACTTCAACAAAAGCCTCCGCCTATACCACGAGGCATACCATTGCCGCACCTCACCACCCAGGATGCGGATTCACGCGGCTCGCAGGGCAGCGGCCTTACTATATTCAGCTAGAAAATTTCCCGAATCAAGTTCCATACTCGAGGGTGCAGTGAACTTGATGCCAAGTGTTGATCTCCGATTCCTCAGCCGAGATGACCAACAGCACATATTATCTAAAACCTTTGGGCTAGCATCCGTTGCCGCTTCTATGGCCCTTCAGGCAGGAATAGATGCCTATCATGGTCTGAAGCTACTAGAACTTGGACGTGGAATAATAATAGGCTTTTCAATCGACGCAAGATCTGAAGTTTCCGATCTAAAAACCGACCACCCCCTCATATTCGCCCAATTTAACAGCCTTCGGGTTGAGATTGACTCGCCTGTAGATAGCATCAATTACGCAAGTGACGAAACAACCGGGCAACGCCAAACACGTGCGATATCTAGACGTTATGAGGCTGTCACTGAGATGGAAGAAATTCTAAAGCACATCCGCAGTTTACCTGGCTACGACGAATTCCTGCTCCCCCCTCCCCAGGATGCGTTAATGAAGATGGCAGCAAATGGTCCCATTGTTGTCTTCAACAGCACCACCTATAGGAGTGATGCCATAATTGTGACCACCTCAGCTATAACTTCTTTAGAACTTCCGAAATTGAGCTACGACGAATCATTCAGCCGCATGACACAATTGGCTAGTTTTGGAGGAGGATCCCCATTTAAGCGGGGTCAGGATGCCAAAAGGATGAAAGACCTCCTCCTTTGGTTATGGGATGTAGCAGTAGGACCAGTTTTTGACCACCTTGAAGGCAGCGGCACCTTTACCAGTGATGGTAATGGTGAAAGCAAATTGAAGCGGATCTGGTGGATTGGGGTAGGCCAGTTAGGTATGGCACCTTTCCATGCTGCTGGGGACCATTCGCCAGGGTCCACACGCAACACATTCAGTCGAGCCATCTCAACATATATCCCCACAATCAGAGCCCTCTCTTATGCACGCCAAAAACGGCTCCAGCTTTTTGAGGAATGTGATGCTTCTTTTCCGGCTGGGCGCTCCGGGAGAGCGGGGATTCTCGGAGAACGGGGTCCCCGCTTACTTCTCGTTCCGATGCCGGAAACACCAGGTGCGACGGAGCTACCGGGAGTCAGTAAAGAAGTCCTACATATACTGGATTCCTCAGCCAATAGTTCAATTGAAACCACCCTAATGAGCAACCCAACCCCGGCCGAGGCCCTCGAGAGAATTGAGGACCACGAAATTGTCCACTTCGCCTGCCATGGAGTGTCTTGTCTCAACCCCTCAGACAGCCACCTAGTTCTGTTCAACAAGGACGGGACCAGTGCTAGTAAGCTCACGGCCCGAGATATATCCACTTTAGTTACGCAAAATGCACAGATTGCATACCTTTCCGCCTGCTCCTCAGCCAAAAACCCTTCCGCTAAGTTAGCCGACGAAGTAATACACCTAGCGAGTGCATTCCAGCTGGCGGGATTCAGCCACACTTTTGCAAACATGTGGGAAACAGACGACCAAGCCTCAAGTGAAGTTGCGAGAGACTTCTACAACCTGCTTTTACAAGATCGAGGAAACTACGAAGACGACCACCAGCGCGTCTCAACCGCTTTTCACAAAGCTGTAAAGAAAGTTCGAGATGCTAAGCCAGGCAACCCGCTCCTATGGGCCCCCTTCATACATACAGGTGCCTAATATATCAGGTTGGTAATGGGTCCCCGAATTTGTTCACTTCCCTCCGTTGTAATATAACTAACTTTGCAAAGACAAGCTCGTTTCTCCAGCTTCACCCTACTGGCTTAGTTGTTCCTCTGCTGTGCTCACAACTGTGTTTCAATTCCCCGTTTCAAAGTGGACCTATCCATTTTCCTAGTTCCTTGTCATATCAATTTTTTTACTGCCTACCCCTCTCTTCCGTGTTTTGAATTCATTGTCGTCGGAAGGGCCTTATTCGGCCGGCACTTCATACTTGCTAGTAAGGAGGAGAGAAGTTGGCTTTGCCGTTTTTTCTATCGGAATTTTCATTTACAGGCTTTATTACGTTGGTTATCTCGAAAGGTATTTCCTTCAAGGAGTCATTGTTTGTTTCACACTTCTGTTTCTCCTGCGATAGCTCCTGATCACAAGTCATGAAATTAATGTTGCAGCTCATGATCCACTTCAAGACGGTGATTATTCAAATTAATGTGCACCTCCCAGTCTTCCTCACACCCGAGGCAGAATTCCCGAATCCCGAGCTTGTGATAGCATGTGGAGCTCCGACCCCTACTTATTCCAGAAGTTTGATGTTCACGGATGAGCTTTCTTTTGGGCGAGCACCCAATTATTAAAAGAAGGATGGCAGCCCAAACGAAAAGGTTACAAAAACATACGAGCAGAATTATTGATCGCTGCCACGGGAGTGATAATCTTTTTCACTTTTCGATGGGAAATGAGCCCCACTAAGAGAACCGACTGTATTCACCGCTTGAGAAGGTATATCGCCCCACCTCTTGAAGGAAATTATTTCTTCGGTTCTTGAAAACGGTACAGGTAGCTCAATTGGTATCATACAGAAGTAAAAAATCGAAATCATCAGTGCAAACCAGAAAATAGCCCCGGACAAAAATAGTTAATCAGGAAAGGGTAAAAACCCGAGCGATTGAACCGTGTTCTATGTAGTTAAGCTTCCTCTCTCGGTATGATCAACAACCCACTTTTTTTTTTCTTCCTTTTCCTCCCCTTGTCTCGGAAGAGTGCAAAGAGCTGCACAGTATCATACCTTTTTTCCCAATTCACGGAGAAAGGGATTTTGGACCCTGAGCCCAGGGTTCATTTATTCTAGCCCCCCAGGGTATCCCGGAGCCACACCCCTTGGTGTTACCAGCCTCGGGCGTTCCTACTCCAATTCATGGTAGAAAGCCCACCAAGTTCGGCAAGGTGTAATGTGAGTTGACCTCTGCTACCCAGCTACGCAAGTCCTATTTGACTTTAGGAAAAGTTGATTCTGCGGAGTCAGTATGACTGTGCCGTGCGCTAGTACCGTGAGCTCGGAGAGCCATCGATAAATTCTTTAAATCTATTATTGCATTCATCCCTTGCGTTGGGCAGTTGTTTTGCTTAATGGGGGAGATGGGGGGCAAAAAAGTTGCTTACTGCTTCCTTGGGGGTAAGCAAGAATTCCATTTGCCGGGGGTCGTTACTAAGCACTTGAATTGGGGTAAAGAGATAGATCAATGTTTACTTCCAGGGGTAAGCGATAATTCCTTCCATCAGCCGAAGGGGCAACGTTAACTTATCATCCCACTCCCACCGCCCATCCATTTCACCTCATAATTGGTTTTCAGATCCTCAGCTATCAAAATCGTGATAAACACCATCAACTACAGGGATAAAGAATACGTATCTAAAATTACAGCTGCTGTGCCCAGAAACCCTTCCCCCCCCGCAGCGGATTTTGTAAGGGCCTTGTGGTGGTATCCGGAGGCGTTCAGAGGAATTCTCTTAAAGGCACTAATAATGTGCTAACATGGTACCGGTACCAACACGTGTCCATCACTTCTCTTGGGTACACGAGTACCTAGGGAACAAGTAGAAAATGTCTGAGGGGGTTAGAACCTTCCAACTCAGTTACGCCCTGAGCAAACCCCGCAAACTAGGTGGGAACCTAGAATAAACAGCATCTTGGGCCAAATAATAAAATTTGATACCCAGCACTGTATCTCTTGCCCTAGAAATTGAATTTGCTGTTTAAACACCCTTATAATGCTCAGATTTTCAATGGTCAGGTACCAGAGGTCAAGGAGTGGCTGGAAGAGACCAAAAGATAATGGTTCGGTATGACAGTGGACTGTGTGTACCTGGACACCACCAAGAAACCACAGAACTCCTATCCCGAATATGAGGGGTCAATTGTGTATGACATTTGAAAAACCTAAGTTCGGGTTTCTTTTACCCCTGCGCCCTGGCTAAACCTATCCGCCCTCTCATACATCTCAATTGAGAAGCAAAGAGCATTATTTTTCTCACACAGAGCGGAAAGCAGTGTCTATTATTAAATTTAAGTCTACCATACTATGAGCTGCCGTTCTGTATCCTATCGGACTATATGCCATGAAAATTCACTACAGGAATCCTGCCGGCTCCCTAGGACTTACCGAGTGATGGTATGTGACCCGATATGCAACCCTCTTCCCACATGTTAGATGCTCATGGATGTGTGTAAGGGGAATATAGGATCAATGAAGGGGGGTAATAACGGACTTGGCCCAAGGCCGATGAGCTCGCCGGATTATCTTGTATCATATCGGGAGGGGGATGATTGGCATAGTAGGATCCTGTAAACCACAACTGTCTCGAAAATGGCTAGATGCTGCTTAGCATGCTCCCACGGTGGTTTTTTGTATTGTTTTCACAGTCTCTGGGAGCGCGCTTTTGCTTCTGGCGCACTTTGCCTTCCGGGCGTACTTTGGCTTTCCGGAAAAAGCACTTCGGGTACAGGAATGCGAGAAGGTGGTGGAGTGATGCATCCGGCGGAAGAAAGGTGGCAAAACCGCAGAGGATGGTGGAAAGCTGGGGGGTTGGATGTTCGGTGTATTGGATGTGCGGAGACCATAGATAGTGGAAGTTTGTTTTTCCTTTGTTGGCTTTTGATTGCAAGTGAGTGGGAGACATACCTGGAACTCGACAGGACTTAGTTTTTTTGTGGTCGATATATACTTCTTCCTTTGCTGTTAGTTGATAAAAAGCCATAGCTAAAGTAAAGGGTTTTTCCCCGCTCGTGAGCTGTGCGATCGTTTCGTTTCGTTTCGCACTTTCGCTGTGCACCGTTTCGTGGTTTCGCCGTTCGTTCATTCGTTCGTTCATTCGTTTCGCTCCCGCTATCGTACCGCCGATCCAGCGTTTAAGAACCTGGTGGCTTGGTGCTGCATTCCGAAAGCCCACCTTTTTTCTATTTATAATAACAGGTAGCTGCTGTAGATAGGCGGGCTGTATGAAATAAGTAAAAGGAGAAAGGAGAGAGGAGGGGGGAGTGTTGGGTCCAAGCAAGATTTCCACAAAACCCATCCACGTTCCTCCAGCAGTCATACTGGAAATACGGTTACCACAAAATCCTTAAGGGGAGCCAGGCTATGCGCATGATAGCAAGGTTCTGGGATGTTGATTCTGGCCTATCGAGACGTATACATGAACAATCGCATCAATTACGGCAAATATTCACATACGGTGGGGAACGGAAAAGACTAGCTCTCTTGCATCGATATCATACACCACAATTGTGCGATGCCCTACGGCCGGCACAAACCAATGCTCCATAAGAGAAGTATGATATCATATACTCCCAGAACTCAACCTTAAAAGACCCGAGCGGGTAGCCCTGATCCAATCGCCCATCACCACGCGATACCGTAAACTACACGCATGAATTGGCCTAGGCTCAACTATCCCCCCCTAGTTCCATCCCTTTACCAACTGCTCCCTCTCCCGATCGGCAACCACAACTCCAACAATCCAGCTCACTCCACCAGCAATGCCCGAACCTGTTCCTCCTCCCGGCCCTTGACTGAAGCTACCATTAATGGGCTATCCCTCATCGCCTCCTCCCACAATGTGCCCCATGCAGTGCGCTCGATCCGGCTGAGGGGGGTATGCCCTAGTTATCCAGGGAGGGCACTATTCGATAGAAGAGGGCTCCTGTGAACAAACCGGGCGGGGGGGGATCGAGTAGATTGCGGTGTGTGTATGTGGCGACGGCGGGGGTGGGTTATTTCTATCATGACTTGTTTTTGGGCTGAGTGAAGGGAGGGGGATGCGGGGAGGGCGGAGGTGTTCTTGTTGGAGTACTGTACGAACACAATGGCTTCTAGGAACACGAGATGCGATAATGATCAAATATCAGCTGTCTTTTCTCGGAATTCACGGAATTCAAAATATAACATTCCGGAAAAAGGACATAGAGAGTGGTATAAAAAAATTAAAAAAATTCTATCCAGTAAATATGCCTACCGACCCAGAACAATACACTCGTTCGACTGCGATGCAGTTACCAGTGGTGCAAAGACCAGAGCCCATAAAGCAAATCAATCTACTCACAGTTGCTGTTAGCAATCCTCTTCCCCCCCTTCGCGTAGTTAAAGGTAGCGTTGGGTACAGGTACCGGTATCGACAACGTTTTCCCTCAAATTCTTTGACAACCTGTTGACTGCTTTTGTTTGCTGGAGCTTGACCGTCCTCAGGCACCCACTTCCTCAGCAACCAACCAACGTCCGGAAAATCTTTGCCTTTGCCCTCGCCATCACCATCCACCTGCGGGTAAAAAGCGTTCTTTTCCTCTTGCAAACTGTGATGCCGCTGTCCGTACGACCGGGGACGGTGTTCGTGTCTGGGGCTATGTGCACGTTGTTGTCTTCCCGAGCACGATGGTAATCAGATCCCCGACTGCCAGTTGCCACAGCAACGGGCCGTTGCTTGAGTTGTGTGGAAGACAAGGCCTATTTCTTGGCACCGATTGGCAATACAGAAGGCTTGGGGACCCCGGGCTGCATGGAGGGTGAACCTACCGCATCCTCGTGGGTAAACTGTTATCCCTTTCTAATTCCCTTTCTAATTGTGAATAGGATTTCTGCTCCCGGAGCTGGAAGCAGTAAGTCGTGTCCTTTCACACTTTTAAACACCTGCGGTCCTTGCTACCTACCTGCTCGTTAGTTTCCGCA